CCCCCACACCCACAGTGTTTGGCTGGGGCCCTTGGCAGGCTCAGCTGGGACAGAAGGGCACAGGGCCTGCTCACTGACAGTTTCCTTTCTGATGTCTAGTTCTGCACCTTTGGTAGCCGGCTGGTAAGCCCAGGATGTTACGTGTTTAGTAGGCGGCTGGACCGGTTCTGCTCGGCGCTCAGCTCCATGCTGGAGCGACATCTCAGCTCACATATGTGGAAGTAAGTCCCCTAGCCTAGCCCAAAGGCCCTTGTGAGGAGCCCCCTCTGAAGCTGCAGGCATGGGAGAACCCACGCCTAGAGTCTCTCCTTCAGATGTTCCCAGTTCATCCGTCGAGAAGATCAAGCACTCTCTTAACCTGATCGTGGTCATTCTTCTTCCTGGGGGCGCCTGGGTTGGGGGAAAGGGGAAGGCTTGGAGTGAAGGCGTTTGGGGGTTTGGCAGCCTGGAGCCTGTGCTCAAGCCTGCACTTGAGGCAGGGCAGAGAAGGAGCACACGTTAGAGAGGAGGGGGAAGCGTTGAAAATGGCTTGTAAAATGAGGGATTCCTGCTGGTGCCTCCTGCCCGTCACAGTCTTTCTGTTAGGTGCCAGCAGGTGGCAGCAGAGCTCAGCATTTGTTTGCTGTTTCAGGGTGGGGGTGGGGATCTCGGTGCTCTGTGACTCAGGCTGCCCTCTTCTTTTCTGCAGGAAGATCCCACCAGCAGCTGAGCCCCCATCTCACCTCCTCATCTCTTCCCCGCCTGTTCCCCTGAGCCCTTCCGCAGCAGGCACCTGCCCCCGCCTTTCTGGCCCCAGCCACAGGCCTCCCTTCCCACCCTCTGCACCCGTCACCAAGGACGACCCAGCCCCTGGCTACCCTGCGGGCTCTCCCAGTGTGGGGGCCGCCTGCAGCCAGGCAGAGTGCATGGGTGGGAGTCAGGCCATTACCTCACCGCTGCCTGCCAACACCCCATCGCCCTCCTTCAGTAAGCTGCCTCCTTCCAAGGCCAGCAGACCGTCCAAGGGCAAAGATGGGACTGACGTGGAGGCCCCATCCCGCAAGCGGAAATTGTCCCCTGGCCCTGCAGCCTTCAAACGGACCTGTATCCTGGATCCTCCTGGGAAAGGCAAACCTGCAGGCTGCCGAGCCCTCCCTGCCAAGACTAAGCCAGCCCTGGGCATAGGGCTCAATGGGGCAGTGGGACCCCGGGTGAAACGGGCAGGGCCCCTGGACTGTCGGGGCTCCCCACATACACCTCCAGTTCCCGTCAAGGCCTCCCAGCTGGAGAACCGGGGGGGAGCTGGCCATCCAGCCAAAGCTCTACAGCCTAACTGCCTCTCTGAGGAAGAGGCCAAGAAGAGGAAAAACCTGGCCACGTACTGCCGGCCAGTGAAGGCAAAGCACTGCCCTGCGGGGCCCCCAGCGGCCGACTCGGCCTGCTCTGTGCGCAGGAAGAAGCCCAGCCCGGCCTTGGGCTTTGAGGAGAAGTGCACCACGCTGAAGGTACCATGCCTAGGGAAGGCAGGGGAGCTGGAAGGAGGGTTTAGGGGATGGGGGACGACCAGATCGGGCCCCTCCTTTCCCTTTCCTATTGGACAGATAACACAAGGGACGCTCAGGTATGAGGAGTGCTGAGCACATCTAGGCAAGAAGGGGCAGATGGACGTGGAAGAGGAGAGTGATAGGAAAGGGAAAGGATTAGAAGGGAGAAGCAAAATGGATTCCCTGGGACTGTGTGACCCCAGCAGTGGGATAGGTTGTTCCAAGATGTATTCTCGATTTGATAGGCCCACTCTAACTCTGAAACCTGGTAGAGGGGATGATGCTTTTCACATCCTCTCTAATTAAAGGGGTCTCATCTCCTGAATTGGTGCTGGTTCTCCCTGCCGTAACTGGGAATTACCTCAGTTTCCCTGGGTGAAGAAGGCTGGGTTCTAGGGAATTGAGTATTCCTAGGAGAGGTTGGAGAGATGATGGGAACAAGCTTGGGCCATCTGGGCAGAGTATAACATTCAAGAGAGGGCTCAAGAAGGGGTATTTGTTGGTAGATTTCTATCCGAGGAGGATGGCCTGACTTAGCACGAGGTTGTCAGGCTGCCCATGAACTTGGAGATGATGTGTTCATGGTGCTCTGTGTCTGTGTCTACATCATTTAATAGACCACGTATATGGTAGCTCCATTCCAGCTTCAAATACCAGGACCAGGATTATTTTCTGGGAGTGGTGGGGGTCTCTAGGAATATCTGCTACCTACATGCTGGTCTTCCAGTTCCCTGTCTTCCTAGTATGTGCCCAGTAGTTCAGCCTTTGCGAAAATTCTTTGGAAACCTGGAAATACTAGTTATTATTCCCCATGTGCTCTAGGGTCTGGAGGACTTCTGGGTAGGAAGGGAAGGTGTTGACTCCTCCACTCTCCCTCCCTGCCATGCCTTCTTGGTGAAAGCAGTGGGAGGGAAGACCCCAGGACCCCTGCCTAGGAGCACTGCTTCCTCAACACTGTCCCCGTGGCAGCAGCTCAGTCACCATAAAGTTTCCTTAGACAGAATTCACTGGAGGCAGCCCCTGTACTGCCACGTTCACGTTCCACCGCCGCTGCTACTGCTGCCGCTGCAGGTCCCGAATCAGACTCCTTTCTGGGCCCAGAGCTGGAGGCCCACTGGCTGCAGATTGTTCACCATGAGGACACACTCTTCCCAGGCCAGTGCTTCCCCCCACACAGGTCTTTCTTGCCTCTTGTCTTCCTGCAGTCAAAAGCGCATTAATGAGAAAGTGCCTGCCCATCGCAACGGAGCTGCCAGCGCCTCCTCCCTCTCCAGGATCCAGGCCCCAGGCTGCTGCTGCTGCCGCCGCTTTTTATAACTTTATATTATTTTTTTTAAGAAAAAAAAACTCTATAAAAATACCTCAAGACTGTCTCCCTGTTCTGTTACTGCCAAACACCGTAACAACAAAACACAGAAAAGGAAAAAAATGGAAGAAAGGAGTCTCCTTCCTCCCTATCTCTGATCCCTCTTTGGTAGGTTGAAGCATCAACCGCGGCCACATATGAGGTCCCACCACGTGCAGAGATCGTTCTGCTTATTTTTCTCTCTATAGAAATGGCAACGACCTCTGGAGCCTTGGTGTTCTCCTTCCAGGGGGATCTCAGGGGTGTAGGTAGGGAAAGGGAGTGAGTCTTACTAGGGAGCGCTCAGCTCCCAAGCCCTCCCCTGTGAGGCTCTGCCTTGGGTCTCCTCCAAGCCAATGCACGGATGATGGTGGGATGCTGGCCTCACCTGAGGTCTCCCTCCCGGGTTTCCCATAGGTCAGGTGGCTGGTGATGGGGCACGCCCCTTGGCTGTAGGGACGATGCCTGCTTTGGGCCCCGGATCTAGGGAAGGGCTCTTCCCTGGAGAAAGGCACCGGGCCAGGGGGTGGCTAGTGTCCCCGGGTGCAGGAGGGGGGGATGCGGTGGTCGCATCGCTGGGGGGCCGCGCCTGGGTCCCATGTACAAAGGGCTCGGGCTGCGCGGGTGCCCCAAGTTGCGCTGGTTCGTCTGCGTGAACCTCGTTGCCAGGGCCTCGTGGGTTTGCTGAGGGCGAAGTGTCGAGGCCCCGCAGGCAGGCTCCCTCCCAGCTCTAGGTGTCCTCCTTCGGGGGGCAGGCCGGCGCACTCCGGGGATCGCGGACCTCTCCCCTGGGCGCCAGGGGGCGCTGCCGGCGACACTGCCGCGCCGCCGACCGCGTCCCGGGGGAGGAGCCGCTCCCGCCGCTGCCCCTGACGCCACGCTCAGGAACCCGGAAGCGGCGGCTCGGCGGCTGGGAGAAGCCGGCCCCCCGCAGCCCTGCCATGCAACCCCCGGCCGTGGGGCCCGTCCTGGCCTCAGCCTCGGCCGCCGCCAGGGAGCCCCGGCTGGCCCGCTGGTTGCGCTGCGGCAGCGGCATCCTGGCACACCTGGTGGCTTTGGGCTTCACCCTCTTTCTGACCGTGCTGTCCCGGCCCGGGACCAGTGAGTAAGGGTGGGACTGGGTTGGAAGAGGGGCGGGGCCGCGGGAGAAGGAAGGGCCGACTCCCTGTGGGGCGGGGTTAAGGGGCGAGGGGTGGAGTAAAATTCCTTGGGGCGGGACTAGAGAATGAATGAAGGGCAGGCTTCCAGTGGGATGGGGGTACAGAAGGAGGGACGGGGCAGGGCAGCTCCTTGCGGGTGGGGCCAGAGAATGAATGAAAGTCAGGCTCCCGGTGGGACGGGGCCAGAGGGGGAGGGACAGGGCCCAGCGGACACTTGGAGGCGGGGCCAGAGAATGAATGAAAGGCAGGCTTCCATTGGTTTGAGTTTAGAGAGGAAGGAGCAAGGTAAAGCAGGCTCCTGGGGGTGGGGCTAGAGAATGAATGAAGGGCAGGCTTCCAGTGAGATGGGGTCAGAAAAGGAGGGGCAGGAGAGAGTGGGTCCTTGGGGGCGGGGCCAAGAAATGAATGAAGGGCAGGCTTCCAATGGGGCGGGGCTAAGAAGAGAGGAGCAAGTTCCTGGGGGGCGGGACTAAGGAATGAAGCATCTTCCCCTGGAAGGTGAAGGGTCTGGAGTCCTTCACCTAGGGTGATGATCGGTTCAGGGACCCGGGAATGTTTATATTCTAGGGGAGGAGAAGACAGTGGAGGCGGGACATCTGCGTTCAAATATCTGTTAGGCTGCCACGTGGAGGAGGGTTTAGTCTGACTGTCTGGCCCCAGGGGGTCAAGGAGCATGCGGGTGCTGCAGTGGGTAGAAGTTGCACAGAGCCTGATTTAAGCTTTTTGGCAGGAGAAACTCCATAAAGGAATGGAGCCGTCCAAAAGTGGAGCAGGTTGCCTATAGGTGGGGTGGGGGTGGGGGTCCACCTCCTGACGTCATCAGGCAGAAGCTGGATGACCACTTGCCGGATTCCTTTTGTGCAGGGCTTGGGCTAGTTGGACATTCGAACTTTCAAATTCAGGTGATTCTGAAGGCAGGGTTAGCACCCAGGTGTGTGTGTATGTGGGGAAGGGGCTAGAAACGAAGGGTCCTAGGGATTCCTGAGGGTTGGAGCCAGGGAAGGGGCATCTTCAGCGTTGTGGAACTGGAGAGAGGGGGCTGCGGTGGGAGAAGAGAAGTTCCTGGGGATGAGGCCTGGAATGAAGGAAGGACAGGGTTTCAGGGTTGGGGCAGAGAGGGACAGGCTTTTGGGGCTGGGCTTAAAGAGGGAGGGGTGGGACAGAGAAGGTTCCCTACAGTAGGTACAAAAAAGGAAGGCTGGACACCCACTGTAGGGTGGGGTCAGAGAAGAAGTTTGGGAACTATTTGCTTGGGGTGAGACTGAAGAGTGAGTGTCTAGGGAGGTTGGGAGGGGGAGGTTTCTGGGTTTGGAATCAGGGAGGGGTATAGGTAGGGTTGGAGGAGCAGGGGCAGACCTTAGGGATATGGCCATTGATGGGGTGGAACCATAGAAAGAGGGATAGGTTCTGAGGAGCTTGGCCAAGGAGGGGAAGGGAGAAGGGAGGAGAGTTTCCTGGGGATGGGGCTAGAGAAGGACGGACAGGTTCCTAGGGATACAGGCTAGAGAGGACTTTGCTGAGGACTGAGATCAGTGAGGGAGAGGAGAGGAGGGTTAGGTAACTCTCAGGAGGCAGGGAGGGAAGGGCAAGGCCTTAAGGCAGGAGGGAGGGCTGCTTGGGGCCAGCTTGGAGTGTGGGAGGGAGGAGCATAAGATCCTGGAGAAAAGTGTGAGTTTGGGGGAAGTGGGTGTTGATGCCAAGGCAACCTCATATGAGGGGCAGAGTTCTCCAAAGAGAGGGATGATGTGGGAAAGAACGCTGAAGTAAATTGGAGGCCCAGTCAGTACTGGGTAGTAAGGGATCCTTAGAGTGCTAGGTGGTTCCTTTTACCCCTGTGTTCTTGGTCACAATTTGGGCTAGAAATCTCTTAGTGGATGGGCTCCCTTGGGATGAAAAGATAGCCCTGGGATAGGGAAATGGAGCTGAGTGGCTCTCAGCCTGTTCTTTTTGATTTCCAGGTCTCTTTTCTTGGCACCCTGTGTTCATGGCCTTGGCGGTGAGTTTGAATTTTTCATTCAAATCCTTTCCTCTTTGCTGTGGCTTGTGTCCTTAGGTTTCTCAGCCTCCTTCCCCTCTGTTTGGGAGCTGGAGTGGCAGTTATTTGGGATATGGAGTTACTGAAAACTGGCCTCACGGGATAATCCTTTCCCACTTCTGAGGTCTTTAGTGAAGCAATGTTGTACCTTCTCCCTCCTCCCGGAAATGGGTGGTCATACTGTGAGGATCAGCAGATCACACTCTTTCCCCAATACCCAGATTCTCCACTGTTCTGTGGCCCCAGGGATCTGTATTCTTGGTTAGGTTCCTGTTAGGGAGGTCCCTCTCTAGTCCTCCCTGTCCTTCTACTTTTTGGGGGGCTGGGCCATTTAAGATGTCCTCATTTGTTTTTGCAGTTCTGCCTGTGCATGGCTGAAGCCATCCTACTCTTCTCTCCTGACCACTCACCCTTCTTCTTCTGCTCACGAAAGGTGCGGATCCGACTACACTGGGTAGGGCAGACCCTGACCATCCTGTGTGCTTTCCTGGGCCTGGCCTTCATCATCTCCAGCAGGACCCGAAGCGAGCTGCCCCATCTTGTGTCCTGGCACAGCTGTGTGGGGGCTCTGACGCTACTGGCGACCATTGGGCAGTCCTTGTGTGGGCTGAGCCTCCTCTGCCCCCGGGCAGCCAGGGTCTCTCGTGTGGCTCGCCTCAAACTCTACCACCTGACATGTGGGCTGGCGGTCTACCTGATGGCCACACTTACAGTACTTCTGGGCATGTACTCAGCATGGTTCCAGGCCCAGATCAAAGGAGCTGCGTGGTACCTGTGCTTGTTCCTGCCTGTCTATCCAGCTTTGGTGATCATGCATCAGATCTCCAGTGCATATTTGCCAAAGAAGAAAATGGAAATCTGATTCTGAGCTCCTACCTGGACCCCCTCCCTTTTCCCTTTAGCTCCTTCCTCCCCAGGGTATGTAGGGCACTTGCTTTCCTCTTCTGTGACTTTCCCTGTATTATTCCTCCAACCCATCGAGGCAACCTGGAATTTTAGAAATCCGAGTTGCTGTTGGGTGGCAGTTGAAAAGTTCAGAAATAGAATAACATTCGAATTGGGTAAAAGGAGGATGGTGGGGAATAGGGAGCCTAGACCTCAGCTTATTGACTTGAGGTCAGGGGCATTGTGAAGAACTGGGGTTTCTTGGTAGTTTAGATTACTGAGGGGTGAGGTTATATTTGATTATGAAAGAAAGCTAGGGTTGGATGCATATCCCAATCCACTGAAGAGACAGGGTGGTATAGGAGTCAGGAGACCCAGTCTGCACAAAGCAGGGTGGCTTTGGGTCAGCTTTCAGGTTCTGGTGAGGACTCTCCTTCTTCACCTATAGAATGAGGACATTGTGTCAGACTATCTCTGAGTTTCTGTTCAACTCCAAAATGTCTTATCATTCTGTGAGGTTGATCTTGAGGAGGATATCTCTACCCTCTCGTGACATATCCCTTGGTACCCTTGTCCAGAGACAGACCTTCTTAGGGTAGGGCTGCCTGGACAATGGGGTTGACCTAGGGTAGTCATTCTTATGTTTACTTTTGGGCTGTCTCCAGTAGAGGGGAAGAATGTGTACATAGGGTCTTTTCTCAGGTACAGAGGGACCAGGCTTTGTAAGTGACAAGGGACCAGATCAGGCTGGGGCCCGTTTCAGATGTCCTAGGCTCCAGATGGTGAAGCACTAGTCACTTTAACACTTTGGGGTCTGGGGTGAAATCAGAAAACCCAGCCATCCCTTTCCCTGGCTGGCTTTGACACCAGCTTGCCAGAAGTCTCTGAGAACTCAATATTTTCTGGGACTTGAGAACTGAATGCTGTCTTAAGGGTGGGTTTCATGGGTAATAAGTCTGTGTTCAGTTGTACCAGGCTGGGTCCTGGGGCTTGCTGGGTTTTCTCTTTTTCCGTAAGTACTGTCCCAACAGTCTCAATCCTTCGGTTTTGTCCTTCTTAGGGCTTAGGTTCTTGCCTTAGCAAAGTCTCTTGAGAGACAGGGAGAGGTTGGATCGACCCTTTTCAGGGCTAGGGGTGTATACAAATGGACAGATATATGTGAGGGTCAAGTTGCAGGTTAAAGGGCAGAAAAGTGTGGTGGGACAGCCCCTTGATCCAGCTTATTCTTTGTTCTTCCTCTCTTCTCATTTTCTGATCCTTCCTTAGACCCCATCTCTTGTCTCTTTGTATCTTGGATGGTCAGGGTTTTGGCCTAGAGTTACTGATTGATTGAATTTGGTGCTAGGTATCAAGGGATGGCCTATTCTAATCTGAGATCTCATTGTGGTTCCCAGGCCTTTTCTTTGTGTCATGGTACTTAACTGGCAAACAACGGTCCCCTAGCTGGTATATTTTAGTCCATCTTAGCCAAAGGGGATTGAGCCTAGGAGTAAGGCAACACTGGGAAAGTCCATTACAGAAGGGACTCAAAGGAGGGGCCTTGAGAGCTCAGGGGAATCCCCAGGACTGGTGTGAAGGACCAGAAAAGAACATTGGTGCTGGAGCTCAGCCTTCTGGTAATAGTGGAACAGTGTGGGCTTTGGGATGAAGTTCTTAGATACCCGCGTGGCAGGTGCCCAGTATGGCACATCGGCAGGGTGAGAAGGAAGGATGGCATGATCTCCAGCACGCAGGAATGGGAGAGAGGAGGGCAGAAGGCCCTTCTGCATGAGACATCGTCCCCAGACATATGAAGTGGCTGAGGGGCCTTCTGATTGCCAAGCAACTTTGGTGATTGTGCAGATGAACGACCTGCAGGTTTAGGTTCTGTCCCTGGCAGCCTTTGTGCTCTTCCGGCTTTCTACTCCCTTCTAAACTGGACATTTGTGGGGGAAGCTTAGTTTTGCTGAGCAGAAAGGGAAAGCATTGTCCTTCATAGTTTGTGTTTTGCTTTGATGCCAGAACAGGGTAGTTACTAGGGCAGGGGGAAGGGAGGGTTGGTGGGTACTAGACAGACCTCCAGCAACTGGTCTTGGCATGGTGTTGTCACTTAGACTCCCAGTGGTCCAGTCCCATTTCCTCCCCCTCCTTGTCTCCCTCATCCTAGGCACCACCACCCTTCTGACCTGCGCCTGAGTGTGGGGACAGTGTCCTAATTGCTCTTCCCAGAGGGAGATGCTATGTGGCCAAGCAGGCCTGGTCTGAGAGCTAAACAGTGGCGCTGCAATAAAGTCTGAGCTTGACTGGGGTGTTGTAACCTCCCAGGTGGTGAGGGGGCGGGCAGGCGGGTGTGTTGACAGCCAGCCGGCAGTTTGCGTGGGCTGTGCCAGCTGATGTCTATTCCCGGCCGTAGATGGGGAGAAGCCATTTCTTTTCTGCAAGAGGACGGGCCCCAGCTGCCACGGCCTTCCGGCATCTTCCACCCCTCTGTTCGCCCGGCAGGTTTGGAGAGCCAGGGACATGCTTGAGGCCGATTGTGGAAGGCCCACTTGGCTGGCTGGCTGGCTGTAATATGGGCAGTAGATCACCAGAGGGAGCCCTCTTCCTTAGCAGGAGAAGTTACCTCACTCTCCCCCCTCCCTCCCCTTTCCACCTGGCTTCCCATCCAGCCTCAGCAGCTGGACCCCCATTAGCACTCTGTGCCAGGGCTCTGTCCCTCCAGCTGGGATGGTAGTAGCTGCCGGCTGTTTGTAGCTCTCTCCTTCACCCCTCCTCTCCTACTTTCTCCATCTGGGACGCTTGGCTTCATAGACAGGAGGCAGAGGCCCATGGCTGACTACTGTCCCCTTGAGCATACATACCCATGACTAGGAACTGCTTGTAATCGGGATTTTTTTTTAAGTCAGAGTGCTTGGATTTCAAAAAAATGTGCATGTCATTTGCACAAATTTGTGTATTAGGATCCTTACACTCTGAATCTCTATGTAGAATAAACCTGTAATTAGGTTCAAAGTAAATATTCAGGGTACTAGATGTATAGAATACAGATGCTTTTGAAACCAAGCCATTTAATTCAATCCCATATTAAGATAGTTCCTCCACACCTCTCCTGGTTCCACTGTGCCCTCACATGGCTTCCCATTGAACTGGGAATAGAATGGGAGTTGGTGCATCTGGCCCCCTGGCACCCCTTCCTCGAACTGTCAGTGAAGGGAGGGGAGTCCCACTCGGCCTGTTTCTCCTCTCCCTTCTGCTCCCCCCCATCCTGCCATCTGACAGAGCGTCCTCTTCTCCCTGACCTCCCACCTTATTCCTGGGGCTGTCCGATGATCCCTTTTCTTTGATTTTCATTCTCCCCCTCCCCTCTCCCTCCCCTGTACAGATTCTACATAGCTTCTTTTTGAAACCTCAGTGTGGGAGATTCAGGCCCTCTCCCTGAGACAGCTGGCTGCTGTGCCAAAGTCTGTTCAGAATTAATAATAATCATTAGCTGACATGGCGCTGGTGCCTTTTAGCGCCAGATCTCTAAGCACTTTGAAGGCTGAGTCAGGCAGCCCTCATATCCCCTCCTCCCCTCCCCGCCATGGGGTGGTGTCTTGGTGGGAAGGAAACAAGGAGTCTTATCTCCTAGCCTTTCATTGAGGAGACTTTCCTTTCTGAGTGGGAGGACAGAGTCCTGGTGTCCTAACAGGATTGTTAGGCCCAAAGACAAGGTATAGGGAACAGCAGTGTAAGTTCTAGCTCAGGCTGGCATCTGAATGCCATAGTCCTGGCCTTTCTAAGGCCCCTCTTCCAGAACTCAGGGCTCTGGAAGACTGTACCACCTGCTTGTCTGACTTGTGACCTCTGGTGGGAAGAGAGGGACATCCCAAATCAAGAGGCCTGGGTTGTCGTTAGTCCTGGGGTCCGCCACTGAGCTATGTAATCTCGAGTTCATCATGTAACACCTGCTGCCACCTACCTCGAAAGTTGTCACAAGGGTTACTTGGGGAGCAGGAGGCAGGTCCGGTGAAGAAAACACTGGGCTCAAGTTCTGACACTCTGCCACTTACTGTGTGACTTTGGGCAAGTCGCTTAACTGGAACCCACAAACTCATCTGTAAAATGGGGATAATATCTTGTACTACCTACCTCATAGGGTGGTTGTGAGGATCAAATCAGGTAATGGTTGGGAAAGTGCTTTGTAATTGTAAATGCTGTATGACTCTAAGCTGCTGTAACAGATATGAAAGCACTTTAAAATGTATAAAGCACTACACATATGTAAAGCGTTGGTATTTTATCTTTCTCGTCTTTCTGTTGTGCTCTACACCCAGTAGGTGCTCATGATGTGTTTACTGTGATGATGGGCATCTCCTGAAGGTCTCCCTCATCACCCTTTGCAGGTTGGGCCTTTTCTATCCAGGGATCTAAGGCTTCTTTGTTGGGTTGTTTCATTTTGCCAGCCTCAGGCTGTTGGAACTGGGATCACAATCCCACTCTTCCCTAAAGCATTCTATTGAAATTAAAAGAAAAAAAAAAAGCCATGAAAGCAGTTCCATTTGCATTAGGGAAAGAATAATTTCCATTCAATTTGTCTGAGAATAGCCAGTACTCTGCCAGGGGTAGAAGCAGAGGGGCAGGAGCCATACAGCAGCACAGAGACCTGAGTATTCATTTTTCATCCTAATTGTTTCTCTCTGTCCTAGGATCCAGGAATGAAATTCTAGTTGGGCATTTGGGGCAGTGCACTCCTTGCCAGCATGGGGCATGAAGACATGAGCTGGTATTCAGCTGAATGGGCTAATGTTGTCACCAGAGCCTATGCTGGAGGCTGGTTTGATTTAGACAGCCAATGGAGGCTGGGCTACTTTTAGAGAGTGGGACCAAGCCAGAGGGCAGAGCTTGGAGAGTAGGCAGTGCAAACCTCTGCCCTGAGAGCCCCGAGCCCTTGGAATGGTTCAGGTAGACCCCAAATCCATCTCAAGGACTAGAGACCAGGATTCTATTCTATCCTATTTGGCTCATTGTCAGAATTTCCTGGAGCCAAGTAGCCCGCCCCCTTTGGATGCCACCTACTTTAGTGTACCTTGCTGAATCAAGGAATCTAATTATTGCTTTCATTAAATAAAGGTGAGTGCTTAGACACAAAACAGGTTCCAAAGCTAACCTAGCAATGAGGGCCACAGTTGAGCATGATTAGGCTGCACACCCAAGCTCACTGGCCATTGGATCGACACCTTCAGGGGAACAGTGGTGGGGCAGAGGGAGATGTGGCATAAAACACTCTTGACATCTGCTAGATGCCCCACATCCATTTTGGGCAGTGGTGACTCTTCCCATCTATGTCAATGTTGGGTCTGTTCCATCCCCTCAGTGTGATGTAAGCTTCTTTAGGGCAGGGACTCCATCCATTTTATTGCCAAATTCCTAGCACTACGCCTTATCCATAGCAAGCCCTTAATAAAAGCTTGTTGGATTGGAATTAATCACTTTTAGAATTTCCAGGTTCAACACTGGCTTGTTTGTTGAACAGGCAATTCCGTTTAGGCCAAGGCTTCACTGGTCTCTGTTCCAAAGGCAACAACTGTGTCAGAACAAGGCTGAAAGGCTGAAAGGCTGTGGGGGTGAGCTGGGGTCTTCATCGTGTCTCAAGCACTTGACCTTTTTCATCTGACAGAGGAACGATGAAGACGCTTGACTCTGGCAGATGATTTAGCTTTCCTCTCAGGACCCTGGAGAGGGAGAGTTCAGCGCAGGCTTACCAGCTCGCCGTGGCAGAAGCTGCCAGTCCTGCTGCTGGTGCCTAAGCCTTTTCTACATTGTGGGTGGGAGGAGAGAGGCTGGCCTATTGGTTTCCTGGGAAACAAGATAAGCAATAAAAGGCCTGCAGTTGCAAAGAGGAAAGGAGGAGTTCATAGATCAGGCTGGGGAGCGAGGAGAGCAGATTTCTGGCTGGGAGACTCCTAGGACTCTTCCCTTATCTTTCTCCATTCTGAGATGAGGCAGCTGTTGTATGGATCCCCAGCAGTGCTAAAGAAGAACAGAAGCCAAAGAGAAAGCAGCACTGTATCTAATAAGCAGGATGAGAAATGCCAGCCAGGATCTGAGAAACTGTTTATGGGCAAAGACCAAGAGCCAGTGCTCTACCTCCCTCAGGGCTACGGAGAGAAGAGCACCAAAATGCTCAGGGACAGAGGGTTTTGTTTAAGCTAAGACAGATCCAGACTCTCCTTTGACCTCACCCCTACTCTCAGCCTTTGGATGCCATGGTCCCTTGGCTGAAAGGGCTTCCTAAAAAAACGATACTGTTAATTACTAAATCCATTACTAAAATTATTCAGACTTCCTAACTTATTCCTCATACTGTCTCCCTTCTATCCTGTTGTGGTACCTTCTCCTTTAAGAAGGACATACAGCTATGAGAATCCAGAAAATGTGTTAAGTTCAGCTTGGGGAAATCTATTCTGGTTTCTAGCAGAATACAAGTGCTAAATAAGGTGAGGGTTGTAACTGTCCCAGGCAATGCCCAGCACATATTATGAGGCTATCCAATGGAAGTTCTATGGTCTAAGGTAATGTAAAGTACAAGTTTTTGAAAGTGAGTTTGGTTCCCAACAACCTGGCATTATTTAGCGCAATCCAAACATTTTTCATAGTAGCTAATGAATAACACAATTAGGCATGCTGCCTGAGCCAGTGACTTCAGGGCCCAGACTAGAACTGCAACAGAATACAGCCAGCCTTGAAGACAGGTGCAGCGTGGGCTGTCAGCAGGCTGACTAGAGAGCAGAGCAGTGATGTGGGCCACTGAAGCAGGTCTGCTAACTTCAGTGCTTGGAAAAACACGGCTGTCTCTAAGTTTCTGAGTTATTAAATTCTCAGTTGCCAGAATTTGTTATTTATTAGAGCCCATGTTCATGCCCAAGATCTGTATCCTGCCCTAGTATCAACAACCCCTCTTTTCCCCATATTTCATATTCCCTTGGGGAACAGTGGGCCCTACTCACAGCTGACATAGCTACTACAGAAATAAATCAGTCACAAACCAACACAGAACAGACTCATGCCTGGTTTAATGATCACTGTCTATTCTTCAGAGCAGAGGCTCAGACAGATGGTGGAGTCAGGAGGCTTCGGGGTCTGCCAGCCTGGATGTACACAAGTGGGAGGAGAGGGAACCTGGACACAAAGGGCCCCATTTGCTTTGCCAGCAAGGGAACAAGGGCTGGTGGGGGAGGGGAGGGACAGGAACACACACAAAGTCAGATTCAATATGCTTTCAGCTACCTGCCTGGGCAGGGTGGGGATAGCTCTTCTTTCTCAGTTCCTTTCTGAGAACCCCACAAATACAAGTAAAGAAAAAAAAGATTACACATAAACACAGATTGTGCAGCCGTGTCATAATCAGTCCACAAGGACACCTGCTTCCAAGATTTTTTCGTCTTGTAGGCAGTCCCTTCAGCCCTCTTTCTACCAATGCCCTGATGCTTTTCTTCATAGGGCACCAGTGAACAAACCCCATAATGGTAAGTACTCAGTTCCCTAGGCAAGAAGCCATTTGGGGGTCTATCAGCAGGAATCAGGGTAGGGCCTGCTAATCCGAAGTACATCTATTCGTTAGCAAGTCTTGGAGAAACAAATAGGGGCCAGAGGCCCAAGTCACTGGGAACGCTCCGCTCCCATAAACCATTTCATTTCACTATCTTTCTGAGGTTCTCAGAACCTCAGAGTTCAGCCTCAAAAAGTTAGACTTGCCCAGGTTCCCTGATAAATCTGAGAATGGATTCCAAGTTCTTATCTCTAGGAAAGAAACGTCCCTTAAGGCCTTGGGAAGACAACCATTTACAAGAAATTCTATTTTTACACTCTTTCCTCCTATCCTTAGCTTATGATAAGGATCCTCAGTCTTACATGGCATTTGGCTAAGAAGAGGCAGTATAGTAGGGGCCTGCTCTCCTGTCCTCCATCCATCTCTGTCTCTCCCTCATGCTCTGAGCCTTGGCCAACAAACTTCCAAGAGAAATACCATTTTGGAATCTCATGGCTACTGCCTAAAGATACCTTAGATCAAAGTGAAATTTCCAAGGACCTGAGGGCTCAGCTACAGCTTCTAACTCTCCCTTCTCTCAAAAGCATTCTCAAAACACCAGCAAGTGTAGGAAAGTCACAGGGGTGCAGTGATCATAGAATAATACTACTAGCTCACACTTATATAGTGCTTTAAGGTTTGCAAAGCACTTTACACATATATTATCTCATTTGATCCTCACAACAACCCTGTGAGGTAGGTGTTATCCCCAATTTACAGATGAGGAAAGACAGAAAAGTTGAGTAAACCCCAAGATTGTACAGTTAGTGTCTGATTCAAATTCCAAGTTCAGGTCTCTACCCACTGTGCTTCAATGCCTCTCAGAAAAGGGGAGAAACTCCAGAAACTTCAGGGAGGGGAAAGTCCAAGTGGTTTTATACTGAAGGGATATTGCAGATGCCTCTGCTAGAATACATTATATTTTTAAAGCTGTGTGAATGTGGGGATAACTCTGTGGGTACTGGAAATCAAAGGAGACACTGTCTAGGTCAATGCCAAAATGCTGGTGTGCATGCGTACCTATAAGTTGTAAGTAACTGAGGGAAATGCTGCATCTCTCTACTGTATAAACTGCTAAGAGGTGGAAAGCAGTCAGAAGAGCCCAAGGATGGATGGGGGCAGCATCTCAAGTACTAGTCCCCTACCCTAATCTTATTACGCAGAGGGAAGTAGACCCTTGTGCAAGTAATAGTCAACTTTCACCTTCTATGAGTGACCCTGTACAAGTCACTGAACCTCCTGAGGCTTGCTTCCAACTGTAAAATGAGGGAGGTTGTACTAGACGACCTCTAAGGTTCCTTTCAGATCTGAATCTCTGATCCTATGATTCCCCCAGGAGATGCCAAGTTAGGAATGCCTCCTACTGGGGCCCAGAAAGCAGTTCAAATGCAGAGAGAGCTTCCCTAGTCTGAGAACCAACTGGGGAGAAAACAGGGCCTGCACTGGTAGGGGAAGAAGCAGACTGAAAAATGTAGAGGAAAATACGTCTATTCTTCCTCGTCTCCAACCTTCATGTAGCTCTACCTCAGATGCTCAGAATAACCTTGCTGGACTGTGGTCCACTTAAATGCTGCTGAAAAGACTAGTATATGTAGAGTCTGAGGGAGGAGCTGGAGTGGACAGCCATCTTCTCTATTCCCAAGCTAGTCTCCAATCATACACCCTCAGATCCATGGCCGGTCAGGAAGTTCAACCATTGTTCAGACTTCAGGTGTGGGGAGGCTTACGTGCTAAGGGCAAAGGTGGCAGCATGAGCTTCCCATTTAGGTTTTATTCAACTTATCAGACCTACGGTAGGATTGCTTGCAAATTGAGGCAAGTATAGGGCTTTAAGCACATACATACCCCAGACCGTCCATTCTGGGACAGGCAATTCCTCTCAAGCCTTGCGCACAGTTAAATTCCTTACTCTAGCCTTGCAGCAGTGACAACTATGAGTGAAGATCACTGCCCCCAATATTTAGAGCCAGTTAACTGAGACCTGAGAAGGAAACCTTGCAATTCGAGGATGCTTCACAGTGATTACCTCTCCCTTCACCCAAACACCCATCTACTCATGAGGATCTTAGGCCCTCTTGGCTTCTTTCCCCCACTGCACTGTACAAACAGAAAGCTCATCTCTCACCCAAGCTTGTTGGAAAGGCTGCTGAAGGGATAGCAAGGGAAGAAAACTAGATAAGCCAAACAAGGTTTTACAAAATGGAGGCTAATTTAGCCTCATCTTTATAATAGGCAGTTTCCTTCACATCCTCCCACTCCCAACCTCCACCACCCACCCCAATCATCTTATACACCATGCCTGTGGTAGGCACCTGGAAAGGCCCTGCCTGAGGTGGTGAAATCAGTAGACTCTGGAGTACAAATGCACAGCAGAGAAGAGACCAGGGAGTCAGAATCCCTATTGTTCACACCTGGAGTAGGTTTTTGAGGTGTTCTCTTAAGCTGTGTGACCCAAATAGCCTAGTTGATACTAGCCAGCACTTTGCACCAATGGATAATCCCCCAATGTCACACTCATTATATTGCTACCCTCTATAAGCTTATATTGGTTACAAGGGGTCCCTAGTTTGCCACAGGACCATGCTAGTTATTTGCTTCTGTGATTCAGTCAATTACTTAATTCTTCTTGGGAAAGAGGAAGGTGGACAAGTTTGAGAACAGCTTTGGGGGTCATTCTTGATTCAGGGGTCTTTTTCTGGTTCCTACCCTGTTCCTTAAGGTTTTCAATTCCCCTGTCTATGTCAACCAAAGATGATATACCTGCAGCTGAAACTACTAGAATTAGGCTAACTGCCCAAGTCTGTGCCCATTCAAGTCCCACCCCAAATCCCTGGGTAGAGGGTGGAAGGAGACATAAAGAAAATCCCATTTTTCTTTCAAATGCTTGGATAATGACCACTCTCTTATGGGGCCATAGATGACATAGTAAAAGCTTACAGAATCTATTTCCCACTAGACCCACCTGTCTTAGACAAGTTCCCTCATCATCAGCTGAACTTGCTAGAGCTTTGGATAGGGGTGCAGCATTTGCCTGAGAGTTACAGATCCATATATGAAAATCTTCTACACCCAGGGATGGAGGTGGGGCTTCTTGCCTGCTGTTGCATCTGTGCACAATTCCCATGAGGACAGGGGAAACCAACACCCTCAGGCAGCCCTCTTTCCCCTTACATCCTTTGGAAGTTACCATTACCTTTTTCCCAGGGATCTTCCCGTCAACCCCACCCTAGTCACACCACAATGGGTGTATCAGAGAAGACTGAGCTGACTGATTCTGGATCAGACATTTTCCTCTGGCCCTTGGCCCCCTCAGGTACAGGGAGGGTGTTGCCAGGCTTTAGTTTGCCATTTTGGCCCTGCCCAGGGCCTGTAGGTTCCAGGAAGGCCACTCGACGGTCAAAGCCACTGTCCTTGCCACCACTACCAGCCATTGGATCATGGTTTGGGGTAGTGCTCAGCATGGAAGAGCTGAGGCTATCTCCCTGATGGCTTGCGGGTCTCTCCCCAGCACGGCACCAGCAGCGGCATGGGGTGAGGTACAGATAGATCAGGACCAGAACCACGCTGAGGATACAGCCCACCAGCGTGGTATAGGCTGTATTGAGAGTGTCATGAGGTCCATGCTGGGTGAAGTTGTGGACCTTCACCTCCACAGACAATGTTTCATTGAACACCTCCCCTACCGCATAACAGGTGTACAAGCCCTGGTCCTCAACCCGAATTTGCCGTAACTGAAGACTACCATCTCCCAACATCATTATTGTGCCATTGCCCACCTCATTCAGTACTCTTTCATTGTTTGGTGTTACCCATTCCTTCGTCATCCCCTGCTGCTTGGTGTCACAGCTAATGATCAAGGTTTCACCCAGGTAGGCTTCAAATGCACACTCCTTGAACTCACTGCAGTTCAGGGTGCTGCTCATGTTGAAGATACTGAGTGTCTTCTTGGAATGTATACAGTACAAATCCTCCTGAAAGTCCATCACTGAGCTCAGCTGACGATATTGCCAGTGTGTGAAGAGCTTATATATCTCACAGTCACAGGTGAGGGAGTTGTTATGCAGATACAGTCCATTTTTCATCCAGGCTGGCAGGTCTTGCAGATCAGATGTGGGTAACAGCTTTAGTTTATTAGAAGACAGATCCAGGAGGGTCAGTTGGGGCAGCTTGGATCTATCCTTGACCAGTTCTACAGGAAATCGAGCAATCTGGTTCTGGCTCAGGTAGAGTTTCTGTAGGTGGACCATATCATCAAAGGCGCTTCTGTCCACCTCCATAATTCGGTTGTTGTACAATAACAATACCTCCAGCTCCTGAAGTTCACTGAACAGGAACTCATCCAGTGTCCGCAAATGATTGGAGGAGAGGTCCAGGTAGCGCAGCTTGGGCACTGGGGAGAACGCCTCCGTGGAGATGAAGTGTAAGTAGTTATGGCTGAGGAACAAGGAGTGAAGATGGGTCAGGCGGATGGAGGTCCATTGTGCCCGAAGGTGGGTCAAGTTGTTGTGGCTAAGATCCAGTTGTGCCGTGTAGCGGGGTAGAGACTGTGGAACATTCGCCAACCCTCGTTTGGTGCAGCTGAGGATGTTGCTGGCACAGAGGCAGGCTGCAGGACAGCTGAGAAGGGAGCGCCCGGTTCTGGCGACCCCGAGGCTAGACAGGAACAGGGACAGGGGCAGGAGCCAGATGCCTCGGCAACCACTCTGGTGTTGCATAGTGTCACTGGTGGGGGGGGGGGTTGGAATATCACAGTGGGAGGCCTAGAGGAAAGAGTAACTGGAAATGTTCTAATGGGAAAAGGATTAAGAGAATGGGGGTCATTATCACTAGGAACATATTTGCTGAAGTCTAGTCATCAGGGCATATAGAGAGAGAATGAATGGATTGATGTGAGAGAGGTCACTCGGGTCAAATTACCAGGTACTATCTAGATAAGGGGAATGAAAGTTCTCTAAGCAGAGTGAGTGAGAAAAGACAGAGGCTTCCTGGTCTGGGTGGATGCCTCCTTGTGAGAGAGGGGGTAGGGGGACAAACAGGTAGGCACAGGGAGGTTTTACAATTTTGTCCAGGGAATCTGGGGACTATCTCTTCAGGGTCTGGTGGTTTGACACAGCCACTTTCTAATTAGATCAGATTTGTGGGAGGTTCACAGGAGCTCTCCAGTGTGCTTGAGGTGGGGGTTATAGGACTGTGGCCAGGGTCTGGAGGTGAGGAGTAGGGAGGAACAGACACAGGGGCTGACTGGCCAGGGTCTGGGGGAGGGGATTGTCACAGGGTTACTTGTTCAAGGTCCTGGGGGGGGGGGTTGTCCACGGAGGGGAATGCCAGGGCTGTCTGTTCAGGGTTTTGGGGACAAAGGTTACAGGGGCTGTTTGCAGGATTGGGAGGATCCGTTTGACCAGTGACTGGGGGCAAGTGTCCCCGGGCTTTCTGATCAAGGGCTTTGGGGAAGGGGCCGTTATCCTAGGGCTGTTGGCTCAGGGTGGGGGTGGTCTCAGAGTTGTGTGCTAAGATGGGGGCATACCAGGGCTGTTTGGTCAGAGGCGGGAGGCAGGGTCCCAGGTGTGTCTGCTGCGGGGCGGCGGTGGTCCCGGGGCTGTTTGCTCGGAGGTGGGGGTCCTGGGGCCGTCTGCTCGGAGCGGGGGTGGTCGTGGTCCCTGGGCTGTCTGATCGGAGCGGGAGGGGGCGGGGATCCCAGGACCGGGCGGGGTCACAGCGGCTGCCCGGGCCCGCCCCCCGGAACGGTCACCATCTCCTCCGCCTGGTCAGCCTCGCCGCCGCACCTGCTGGGCGGGGATGGGGGAGCACTGGGCCCGGGGCGGACCGGAGGGCTCGGCTCCCGCCGGTCCTGCGCGCGCCTCAGAGGCCGGCCTGTGCGGGAGCCCGTGGTCCTCCGGGGCCGGGGATCGGGGCCGGGGCCGGCGACATCGCCCCCCACCCCCCGCCCGCTCTCTGCAGCCGCCTCCTCACCCGCGCCGCTGCCGCTGCTGCAGTTGCCGTCGCCGCCGCCGCCTCTGTCACTGTCTCTGTCACAGCTGCCGCTCGCGGGGAGCCCGCAGACGCAGCCGCCGCCGCCGCCGCCGCCTTCTCCTCTGGCCGGGTTTGCCGCGGGGCCCGGCAGAGCCGCAGGAGGCACTGGATCCTGGCAAGCCGGGAGGGGGGGAGGGCGCGCGCCGAGGCCCGGGGCGCGTGCGCGGGGAGGGGCGGGGGCGCACGTGCGAGTGTTTGTGTCTCCGCTGCTCCCCGGGCTGCGGGCAGAGCCCCGGGCGGCGAGGGCGCGTGCCGAGGGCGCATGCGCGTCTCGGCGTGACCCGCGGAGGGGGGGGCTGGGGCTGTGCTTGCGGTCGGGCGTGCGCACATGCGCACACAGACATACGAACATATACATGCAAGCACCCAGGGACTGGCTAGTCCTCAGCCAAAGTGTGAAGAGGGCCTCAACTTGGCCGTCCTGTCTCTCTGTCTTCATCTCTGCTTGTCTCTATGTCTTTTGTCTTCCTCTCGGTCTCTCCCTCATCCTGTCTCCATTCAGTCTCTGCCCCGGAGAGGTGAATGACTTGCCGGGGGTCACCCAGACTCTGGCAAGATTGCATGAGCTCCCATCTCATTCCCAGCATGCCCTGTCCCCCTCACTGCTCCCTTAAAATCTCTAATTTCTTCCGAGATTCAGCCCACAAAGCATTTCCTGATGCCTTAGCCCCTCCTCCAAATTACCTTGTATTTATTTTGTGGGGCAGCTAGGTGGCACAGTAGATAGACTGCCCGGCCTGCAGTAGGGAAGACTCATCTTTCTGAATTCAGATCTGTCCTCAGACACTTACTAGCTGGGTGACCTTGGGCAAGTCACTTCACTTATTTTCCTCAATTTTCTTATCTATAAAATGAGCTGGAGAAGGAAATGACAAACCACTTCAGTATCTTTGCCAAGACAACTCCAAATGCGGTCATGAAGAGTTGAACACAACTGAACAACATAGAACAGCTATATGTTTTCTCTACCATAAACAAAACGAAGTCAATTGGAAAGTTCTGTGGCTTTGGGAAGGCGTTCATTGCCCTGCCCTCCAGCCGACAAACATCGAACCACGATTCACCCCTGTGCCGGTCATGCGCTTATCCCAGGGAAGGCATGGTATTCCTGGGGTTGAAACTGTCTTATAGAAAATTACGGACTTGAAATCCAGTCTGGAGCTTACCCGGGTAAGCATCTGCACCTGCAGATGTAGCCACCGTGGCTGCTGCTAGGGAGGGCAGAGAGAGTGAGGTCTCCTGTGTCCACTCAACTAAAATGTGAGTGGGAAGTGGCAAAGCCCCAGTGAACACGAAAGAATGGAAGAGAGTGAGAACAGAAGTTGTTTCTCCTTTTGAGCCTACTTACACCATTTGCCAAGATAAGGTCAAAATGGATACGTGTCCTAGATATAAAGTGAGACATCATAAGTAAGTTAGAAGAACAGGGGACATATTACCTATCAGACTTATGGATAGGAAAACAATTTACAAATGAACAAGAGATAGAGAGCAGTGTGAGGTGTAAAATGGATTATTGCAATTACATTAAATTAAAAAGGTTTTGTACAAATAAAACAAACATAGCCAAGATCAGAAGGAAAGCAGAAAATTTGGGGGGAAAGTTTATGGACAATTTCTCAGATAAATATATTGAAAATTCTATCAAATTTATAAGAATGTGTGTCATTCCCCAGTTGATAAATGGTCAAAGGATATGAACAGGCAGTTTTTTGATAAAGAAATCAAAGCTATCAATAGTCATATGAAAAAATGCTCTAAAGCACCATTGATTAGAGAAATGCAAATGAAAATAATTTTGAGATATCATCTCACACTTATCAGATTGGCTAAAATAATAAAAGGGAAAAATGACAAATGTTGAAGGGGATGTGGAAAAATTGGTATGCCAATACACTGTTGGTGGAACTGAACTCATCCAGTCATTTTGGAGAGCAATCTGGAATTGTGGCCAAAGAGTTATAAAACCGTGTATACCCTTTGACCCAGCAATACTATTAGGTCTGTTTCCCAAGGTGATCAGAGAAAAAGGAAAAGAACAAATATGTTCTAAAATATTTATAGCAGCTCTCTTTGTGGTGGCAAAGAACTAGAAACTGAGGGGATGCCTATCAATTGAGGAATGGATAAACAAGTAGTGGTGTATGATTGTGATAGACTGCTACTATGCTTTAAGAAATGAAGAGCAGGTTGATTTTAGAAAAACATGGGAAGACTTGCGTGACATAATCAAGAATGAAATGAGCAGAACCAAGAAAACATTGTATACAGTAATAGCAATGTTGTTTAAAGGATAACTGTGAACAGCTAAGTTATTCTAAATATTATAAATACTCAAATCAGCTATGAAGGACCTGTGAAGGAAGATGCTGTACACCTCCAGGGAAAGAACTGGTAAATAGAAGTATGCATAGTATGGTTTTATCTATCTGTCTGTCTATCTATCTATCTATCGATCTATCTATCTATCTATCTATCTATCTGTCTGTCTGTCTGTCTGTCTGACTGTCTCAAGTGGTGGCTTCCTTGGTTTGGGGTGGGGAGGGAAGGAGACAGTTGGGAACTTAAAGTATAACAAAAAATTAAATTAAAAAAATAGAAAAAAGTTTCAATTAATAAACATTTATTTTTTCTCCCTACATCCCCTCCCCCCAATATACATACATACATACATATATGTGTGTGTGTGTGTATGTATATATATATATATATGTATTTTTTTTTAGCAAAATACCTGCCAGCAGAGGACTCAGCAAAGGGCCATTCCCCATACATGCTTCAAGAGATAGCCCCCAGAAGTCACATTCTAGCAGATCTTGGTGGCTCCCCTGATTATCTCCTTTACATAAATAAGGTTAGTAGCCTGGAGGAAGGCTTCCGAGAAGAGTTTGGCTGAAGGGGTGGGGTTAGGGATACAGGAGGCTACAGTTCTTTTCCCTCTTCTAATGTAGTCTTAAGTGGCAATGGCACTGAATTTGGAGTCAGAAGCCTTTGTGTTCAACTGCTGCTGGGTCATGTGCTGAGCCTAGAGTCAGGAAGATTTGAGTTCAGATCTGTTAATAGTTGTATAACCCTGGGCAAGTCACTTTAAATCCCCGTTTGCCTCAGTTTCCCCATTTGTAAAATGGGGGTAACAATAGCACCTACCTCCCAAGATTGTCGTGAGGATCAAATGAGATGATAATTGTAAAGTACTTAGCACAGAGCCTGGCACATAGTAAGTGCTTTATAAATGTTAGCTATCATCATCATCATCATCATCTTCTGTGACTCCTTGAGTAAGTTAACCGATCTAGATCTCTGTTTCTTCTTCCGTAAAACAAAGCCATTGGACTAAGGGATCCATAGGGCTCCTCCCAGCTCTGGTTCCCATGACCTCATCCCTGTTTTAGTCTCTTATCTTGTTTCTCAGGTATCTAAATTAGAGAATTTCTGCAGCTGCTCTTCAGTTGTTCCACTGATCTTTTCATCTTGTAACTCGTCCCTCACGATGACCAGGTGTCAGTCTCTTCCCTTTCTAGGATTCAAAGGCTTTCCTTTTCTGACTTGATAACCTTTTTCCTTCACCTCCAACCTGAAGCCAGCCCCTGAATTCTCCGTGACCTGCCCAAACCATAGAACAGAGGAGTCCAAAAGGAAAGAGTCATGGGAATGGGCTGAGGAGTGTGCCTATAGTTCTCTTTGGCCCTCTGAGGTTGAATATTACTGGGGTTGAATATACTAACTGGCATTTATGGAGTGCTTTAGGGTCTACTCTCTGATTTATTTGTTAAAACAAGCCAGTAAGCTAAGTATTACAGGCGTTATTATCCTTGTTTTACAGATAAGGAAACTGAAGCCCAGGGGGATAAATGACTTACTCTTGGTTGAACAGCTAGTAAGTGGAAGTGACAGGGTTAGAACCCAGGGCTCATGATTCCTAATTCAGTGCCCCCTCCATTATATCACACTGACTCTCAGAATAAATCCTAGTTGTTTTTATAAATCTCAAGAGCCACCTTCTTTACTCTAAAGCCAGATACTCCAGTTTGGGACATGTTGTCAATTTAAGGATGTTCAATCCTCCTGGCAAATTCATAAACATTTTAAGAACATCTGGCCTCCATTTGTAGACCTGCCATATTGACCCAAATGTAGGGTACCTCCTAAAATGAGATCTTTTTTCTTTTGAAATATTTATTTTTTACAATTACATATAAAAACAATTTTTAACATTCTTTTTTTAATTTTGAAGTTCCAATTTCTCTCTCTCCCCACCCCCATTAAAAAGGCAAGCAATTTGATATAGGTTATACATATGCAGTCATGCAAAACATATTTCCATATTAGTCATGTTGTGAAAGAAAATGCAGACCAAAAAACAAACAAAAATCTCAGAAAAATAAAGAAAGTAAAAAAGTATGTTTCAATCTGTATTCAAACTCCATCAGTTCTTTCTCTGGAGGTAGAAAGTATTTTTCATCAGAAATTCTTCAGTATTATCTTGGTTCTTTGCATTGCTGAGAATAGCTAACTAATTCGAAGTTGATTATCATACAATATTGCTGTTACGGTGTACAACGTTCTCCTGGTTCTACTCATTTCACTTTGTATCAGTTCATGTGAGTCCTTCCAGGTTTTTCTG